TGGCAGGGTCTCGCACAAATACAATGGCTCTCAGCCGTGCTATTGTCACTGATTCTCCATAAATGATAAATGTCTTGACTTTATGATCAGTTAAAGGAACACGTATATACGATGCTATATCAATAATTTGTTCCAAGTTATCCAAACTAATTTCAGATGGGATTCGTTCTGTGTAAGCTGTACAGATTCCATTCTGGGCAAGCAATGATTCCAGGGCCTGCAAGAATTTCTCTCCATTGTTATTATCCAGGGCCATGAGCCCTATCCAAGTCCATCCAAAATGCTGAAGCAACTGGATGATTCCAGAGTATTGGTGGGCTTCATTTGGGACCATGGAATACAAGGAATGGACTGGGGTGTGAGGAATCTTCTGAGGGACCAACGATCCATATGTGAGCTAAAACAAAAGATACAAATGTAGTAAGGGAAAAATAAAACCGTAGTAGGATCTTTACCTCCATATGTCTGATTTTGCTTTGATTCTTAAAGCAATTCATCAATGCATAGAGAACCAAAGTCAATGATTCTTTGGGATTTTTTCCCCAAAATTATTAGTCCATAATGGAATTTCAGCTATCATTTTTAGTCCATTGACAGCCTTCCCTCCTTTGGAATCACCAGCAGTTTAATGTGAGAAAAAAAAAAAATTCCATGTATTCTAATGCACAATCCTACCTGTGGAATCTTGTAAAGACCCAGAATGTCTGCCATATAAAAAGAGGTATCAGAACCAAGGCCTCCAATGATGGCTATCAGGTTCCTCTGTTTGGCACATTTGTAGTTGGGGAGAAAGCCAGTTGATTTGAAAAGCAGGTCCAGGGTGGTCCGATAAGTCAGCCTTGCATCGTAGTAGCTGTCGCAGATATGGAACCCAAGGGTAACGTTGGGGAAGATCTGGGGATTCTCATTGACCTCCTTCACAGCAAAGGCCAGGGCAAGGGCATGCTGGTGGAATTTTGTTACCATGCTGCAAATAAAGGTTCAACCTTTTTCATCAAGTCAGAGAAGAAAAAAAATGCATTCCTAATTCACAAAGTTGCTGTCAAAGTCCCTAACACCTTTCCCATTCTTGATTGCAAGGATGCTGTTTTATTTGTTTCTATTTTTCTAAAATGCATGATATATCACTTCTCAAATAATTCCTGAACTATTGAGGATGAATTACAATATCTGGATTAGAAAGACAGTTACATGAACTGGGTAGAATTCTGGTAGCTTGTTTATTTGTTTGTTTATTTATTTCAAACAAGAACTGTACATCTCCCGAATCTGTTGTCAAAATCCCAGTAACTTCTTATGCAAATTGTAACTTAGAACATCCGAAGATTTCAATTTCTTATTATACTTTATGGATCAGCAATATGGACTTTTATCCAAATTGTTTGTTAATAGATATCCTGCTATTATCTCTTTCAAAAAGCTTTCTCCTCTTTTTTTGTTCACTGCTATGTATAAACAAACATACAGAGAAAGAGAAAGAGTGAGAAGGAGAAACCGCAGAAGTCATTTTTTCAGGTTGAATATTCTTGTTCCAGTTTCCTTTTTTAAAAAAATATATATAGTTTTTATGAAAGAGATACTTCACAAGATGAAAGCAATACAAATTTTAGAAAGGAAATAAGAGAAAAATTGTGAATAGGTAAGAAAGAACATAGGAAAAAGAAAGAAATTTTTAAAAAAAGGTTGTAAAGAAGCTGCTTCCAATCTTCTTAACAGAGGTTATAAATGCATTTCTACTTTGCCCTTTCTCTCTAAAATTACATCATAATTTCCTTCTTTCCATAGTCTACCCTTTTTAATCATCTAACCCATAAATCACAAGTTCATTTTCTTCTTTTTTCAGCAGAAAGTCCATAAGGGTTTCCACTCAATAATAAATGTAGGTATTGTCCTTTCTCTAATCAAACAAGTCAGTTTTGTCATCTCTGCTAATTCTGTTCTTGTTCTAGTTTCCTTTGAGAATGGAAATGAGAATTGAGAGAGGCGCTTACAGTTAAAGATATCGGTATATATTCTTTGAACTTTATAATTTCTAATTATAAAGTATTCCTACTTTTCTGCAGTAATTAATCCATGCAGGACTTTCCAAATCTTGCTCTCTCACATACAAGCATGCTGAGCTGCCTCCTTCTTGAGAACCTGACTAATGTCAGCAGATATAGAGGACAAAATGATTCCTTACTTTGGAAATTCAAATTGGTACTGAGAAGGCTCTTCATCAAATAAAAAATCGCTGAACCCATAAATGATCTGAGAAATCACCCCACCAATGAGGAGGTCACCTGGCTGGTACCACTCATGAGGAACAGGGAGAAGATAACTCATATGACATTTCAGACCAGCTATTTCTCCCACCATGATTAGGACTAGGCCCAAAGCCACTGATGGTTTCACCATCTGATAGCAAAACTTGGCTTTCTGCATCTATGCAATCTACTTGATTTCAACTGGCAACCTCCAGTGGTACCTGATTTGGGTCCACAAAAGAGAAAAAAATGCGAATGCTGGACTACCAGCATGAGAGTGCCAGCATTCCCATTTCAGATGAGTATTATAAGATGAAAAGGGGGGATTGGATTCTGTAGATCAAATCTTGTGAACCCTGCCTGCTGCTTGCTCCTTCTCCCATTGTTGCACTGCACGGTCATAATAAACATGTTCAGAGTTATTTCTTATTTTCCTGTGGGAGACTTATGAAGAGTAGGCTGGACGCAATTACAGTGACTTTGGTCAATTCCAGGGAGATAACCGCCTCTTCATCGTTTGAATCATGAATAACAATTTTGTTAACACGTATGCAACAGCTGACCACAAGAGTCTTCTGCTCCAAGGGGCAGGAGGATAGCATATTTCCCAGGGCAGCAAAGTACAATAACTTTGAGTGAGCAGCACAAGAAGAAATTCCATTCCATCAGACATCCCTTGATAAACCATTGCCCCCTGAAACTATAAATTCATTTGTGGACATAACTATGAACAAAACTATTTCATAAATTAATACTTAAAAGGCTGAGCTTAATTACAGTGCCAGAGACAACACTGTTTAAAACATTGGGATCCCTTTCTAAATTGCTGTCCTATGGTTGGACAACACAAACATGTCCCCACTTCAAAATAGTGGTTACAAACATCGACATTTGATTGATTGATCAATTGACTGATTGATTGATTACGTGTCATCAAATTGATGTCAGTAGTGACCACATAGATGGTGTTTGGGGAGTTATATGGACTTGGGAGGCAGCAAACTCAGATAAAACATGGCAGCATATAGTATATTTGAAAGTGTTGCTGCTAATTTATGGATTCTTAAACAAATGGTCTAAGAATTGCATGACTGAGCCATGATTCTTATGTACAAATGATATTTTAGACTCACTCATTTTCAAAAATTTGTTGTAACTGTTTTACCAAAGGTGTCTATGAGTTGCTAGAGAAGAACAAAGAAATTGTGATGGGAATGTGAAGGAAGATTGTGTTGAAGACTTCATCTTTTCTCTGGCTGTGACAGGATGTATCTACAAGGAGGAGAGTGATGTGGGAGATCAAGGCTACCAGGAAGGAGGGGGTGCATCCAGAAGGGGAAAAGAGACAGAAGACAATACAGTCTGCAGGGGGAATGTGGAAAGCAAAAGAGGTTCAGGGTAGCCACTCCCTAGAATCTCCCAGGGTATATCCACTAGATGCTGTAGCATAGATTTAGTTTGGCAAGATTCAGTCTATAAAGGATAAGCAAATAAAGGAACTTTACTCGACTGGACTGTTTCACCATTGTTCTTGGGCTGGGCCTGACCTGGCTGATCCATCATGGTTTGAAATAGTATAACTCTAATTCCACTATATCTTTGTTACTATTGCATTATATTTAGTACAGTTGGACCCAGAGAGCTGGGAAGAGGAAATACACATCAACATGAGATGTAGATCAAAACTCCCAAAGAACACAATTTATGGAATGATTTAGAGCTATCCTTTATCTGTAAACTCAGAACTGACATCTCCCATAAAGTTGATAAATGTCCAGGAAAACCTTCATGGGGCTTTTATTACTGACATTTATTTTTTTATACAAATATGTATGAACTGCCCTACTTTCACATTGTTAAGAAGTGTAGTAACAATTCCAGAACAATGAGGACATGTGATCAAAGTGACAGGCTTCTATCTCCCTCCACTGTAAAAACACAAGAAAATGAACAAGGACTTGAGTGCCAAAAAAGGTCTATATATTTTATTTTGGTACTGTAAAATGGTTTATACCTTATACCTTTTGAAAATAAATTATTTCTTGCAATACTTGTATTGTAAACTTAACCTTCCTTCTATGAAACATTGCTAATCAAAGTTCTGAGTGACTTGTTCCTTTCTTCCTATCCTGATTGATTGGAGGAAAGTCCAACACTTCAAAAGACTCAGGGTGCTTTATAATAAATAAAAAAACAGAACCAGTAATGATCAATAACAAAACTTTTAATTCCCCAAAATGTCCAAGTTGTGAAAGTAGACCAAGTCTACCATCTGTACTGATAGCTTGTTGGAACAGTACACTTTTTATAGCCTTACAAAAGACAAGCAAGATGGGGGTTCACCAGACCTCATCTGAGATGTTTCATAACTTGTGGGCCACCAAGAAAACGGGATGCATCTGGGCCTTCACTCCTTTTACCTCACATGGTCAGGGACCCTCATCAGCCCCTTTGAATGCCAGAATATGGAGAGGAGAGATGTTCCTGCAAATTTAGTCATTAATATACTGTATCTCAATATACTTCCTTAATAGTTTTACTCTCATTTAGATAATTTATGGTAAAAGTGAGCATAAACTCCCCCCACCAGCAATTACTAAGGATTTCTTTAAGAATAATTATAGATTATCATTTGAAATAAGCATTACTGTGATTGTTTGTACCATATGAGATTGGACTGGTAAATACAGTAGCACAGCAAAGAAGCTAATCCTCTTTCAATAGAGAAGAAATCCATATTGGATGTCTTATAGACTATGTTCTTTTTCTCCTTGTTAGATGCTCCCTAACATTCAGTTCAGGCTTTAACAGAATTATGTAGACTTTTGGGAAGAAGATACAACTCAAGAGTCCAGCACTAGAGGCTAAGATGGAGAAGATCTCCACAGCTACTACATATTTCCCCTTGGTGCTCAGATACGTTGGGACAAAAGACAACCAAACACTGCAAAACATCAGCATGCTGAAGGTGATTAATTTGGCTTCATTGAAAGTGTCTGGCAACTTTCTGGCAAGGAAAGCCACAATGAAGCTGATGATGGAGAGAAGTCCCATGTAGCCCAGGGCAAGATAAAACATGCTGATGAACCCTTCATTACATTGTGCCAGGATATTTTCAGTCATGGACTGCATATCAAAATCTGGGAATGGGGGAAAGGTGGCCAGCCACACAATACAAATCCCTGCTTGAATGAAGGAACAGGAGAGGAGAATGCAAATGGGCAGATTTTTCCCCATCCACTTCCTAATGCCAGAGCCAGGTTTGGTGGCCATGAAAGCTATAATTACAGTGATGGTTTTGGCCAACACAGAAGAAACAGCTACAGAGAAGATGATGACAAAAGCAGATTGTCGGAGCAAGCAGGTCTCCTTCCCCGGGTGTCCAAGAAACAGGAAAGGAGAGAGGAAGCAGAGGAAGAGGGAGGCAAGGAGAATAAAGCTGAGATTTTGGTTGTTGGCTTTGACAATGGGAGTATCTTTGTGCTTAATGTAAATTCCTAGCACAAAAGCTATAATCAGGGAAGAAGAACCAGCAACTGAGGCTAAACCAATTCCTAAAGGTTCTTCATATGACAGAAAGCTAATACTTTTGGGGATGCATTGATTTCGGTTCTGGGTTGGATATTGACCTTCTGGGCATTTGAAGCAGTCATCCACATCTGAAGAATAAGGGAAAAAATGTTGGTCTCAGTGCAAGTTTTCAAATGACTTAATGTTTAAATGTTGTTGTGTTGAAGCTTAATTATACTGTCTTCCCTTTCCAGAGTCAGCCTGCATAAATAAAATGTTTCAGCATGGATATTCTTACCTTATTGTAATATAAATGTACATATGTCACTTGGAAGAGTTCAGAAAGTAGAAAAAAACAAGGAGACTTCTCTTGTCCCAGACAGCATGTTTATCACTATGCCAATAACATATGAACTCAACCAGGCATTTTCATGTGCAAACAGCACATGGGGGATTATCTGTATAAATCCAGTCTGTTTTACTGTCTATATTAGTAAACTAACATGCCAGTTTGATATATTTTTCATAATTCATATTTTATTGTTAAAATATTGAAATTCAAAGGAAGTAGAAATAAACAAATATGGAAATACAAAGAAAGTAAAAAAAAGCAAGATAAAAGAAAAAAAAGACTGCTACATCTAATTAAAAAACACAATGAAGGAAGTAAATTATTTTTACTGATACATCCTTCCCTTCCTTTCCATTGTATCCCCAATCACATTTGTATCCACATTTCAGATAATTGATCTGTGCATTAAACATTAGTAATTGTTGTTACTTTCTATTTGAGTCCTGAAAGCCATATTCCAGATGTCTAAATTTGCCTTGCTCTGTATATAATGGCAGTTTGTTGATATTTTGATAGACATTTGCTTTTATTTTTTTAAATAAAAAGGTTGTAAACAATGCTATTTCCTTTACCACTTTTATAGGTTCTAATACTAATATGTCAGTACTATTTGGAGAAGAAATATTATATATATAGGATCTATTTGTAATGTTGACTTGTATTCCTACAACATGGGATTTGGCATTTCATGAAGAGCTTTGACTCTACTGAGGCTTAGTTTACTTATATAACTGAAAAGAAACTTACTCTCTGGTTTTTAAGGAATGGATTCAGGATACGAATTTGTTTACCATTTTTGGAAAATCTGTCTATTCTAAAAATGACCATATCTATATGGTCTACATTTGACAATAAGCATAAGGATATCATTATCTATAGTTATTACAGGGATATTTTTGTCATTTTTGCCGCATATAGTTTTTTTTAATCGCTATAATATATTTAGTTTTCCATTCTTTACTGTATAATCACTTTTTTTTTCCTGTTGGTGCTGCATTTGGGGGGGGGGTTAAATTATTTCACCAAATAATTAAAAAAAAATTAAATATTTCACCAAATAATTAAAAAAATATATTTCACCAAATAATTAAAAAAATATATTT